ATATATATATGAAAAATTGATGTGGGTACTCAAATGAAAGGTCTCGATGAGCTTATATCGTTAAAAATATTATCAGTTGACAAAATACGATGTCACTATACTTAATTATTGACATTTTTAAAGCTACTCTTACAAATATAACGGATTTATTTGATTTATTTACTTGCAAGAATATTTGCTTTCAAATTTTCTAGATTATTTTAACTCGGAATATTGACAGCCGAAATTGCCTTTCAAAATATTTTATATTTTTCTGTTATTTAAATAAACAAATCTGCGATTCTAAAATAAATAATTCGTATAAATACTCAGTGTTTCAAGTTAAAGGAACATAATCTTACTGAAAAACTCTTCCTTTTGAAAGATGTTGTTCTTCGTTATCATATCTTTGTTAGTCTTCGGATCTTCCGCGACAATTGTAGGGCAAGGTCCATGTCCCAATATTACTGGGGTTGTCGTCGACTTTAATAAAGTAAGTATTAACGATACTCATATTACACGGCTCATGATTCAAAGCATAAGAGAGCGCTTTATGATAAAAAAATTTTTTTCGGCAACTATTTATATTATACCCTTATTAGTTTACGAAAAGAACATCAAAATAGTTTAAAAAATTTTCCCGTCCGCCAAATATGAAACTTGTAAACACTGTAGCTTGCAAAAAAATCCATTAATTGAGTAAAATTTTTTTTATTTTAATTTTTTGAAGGAATTGCAGGCCCCCTATTGTGAATTGCTATGTAACTTAGTGTCGTTTAATTACAAATTTCCTATTTTTTCATTTTATTATAATTTAATAATTAAATGCGCCATATGAGTCGTGCAATTTTGGATTTTCCAAACTTTTGTATTTTACAGTCTAATATTGATTTTTTCAGATGGTCGGAAGGTGGTACCAGTATGCTTACACCTTTGACCCTTATAACGATACTTTAAAGTGCATAACTTATAAAGTAACCACGCCGAAGAATGATCGACCAAGAATGTTTGCTACCGCAATTTCAAAATCGTAATTATTTTAATTCGTCCTACTTTGTCTAAATTATTTTCAACTTATTGAAAATTCTCAGAGCTCAATCTTATTTTTTTATTTTTTTTTATAATTATAATAAAGTACTGGAAGCATGTCAGCAGTTGAGAGTGAAATAATCTTAAATCATCAACCTAGGAACGGAATGAATGTTATTACCCATGTTCCACTCATAGGAGAATTGACCTCTCATCAGTATCGGGATCTAGAAGTTGTGCCTGACAGTTATGAAATATCTTGGAATTGCCGCAGTCAAGGATCGAACAAGTAAGTTATTATAAAAAAAAATATATCAGTTGTTAAAATTTTGACTAATTAACTTTTTATATTTGTTCTTTTAGCGTGCAGACTTTTGGTCTCTATACTCGCAGTCCCAACCCGTCAGTAGATGTGATTAGAAGAGCACGACAATTAGCCCTAGAGAAGGGTCTTGCAATACCAAATTTTGTAAAATTTGATAATAATTGTTATTCAGATAAATGTATATGCCTATAAGTATTTTAAATATGTTATTTTCTTCTTTTCCTTATCCATGTAATAATTATTGATAGTTTAGAAATTGTAAATTGTAGTAATAACACTGAAGTTAGTAGTCACGGAACGCAGAGTGAGATCCCCACCCGCTGGAAGGCGGAGAAGGGGAACTAGGCTGCTCCAGACTCGGGAGTGGGGAGCGCTTGACTGTCATTCAAGCGTCGGCTGTAGTCCGGTCAACATCTATAAAATCTGTATACTCGCTAATAATTCGGCGATTTTATTTAAAATTCCAGGTAAAGAAGATTGTGGGTATTTCAGGAGACTTCTTGCGACTATTTATCATAATGGTCGTTTTATTTTTTTAATTTAATTAACAGAATTAATTGAGCGGCCTTTAATAATATTAAAAATTCCATGCAAGTGATCCCAATGCCTATTTCATTTAAAAATTAAACAATATCATTCTATTAATTTTTCTTTATCTCAATATCAATACAATACACAGATGGCGCATCGATAAGCGCGCATAATTTGAAATATAATATCTACTAGCATTGATTGATAAGAAAATTTTTCGCAAGACATCAAAAGACGACTTCAGACTTTCAGAGTTCAAGGTCAGATTCAATCTCGGTCGTTAAATGATTACTGTGTTATCACTTTTTTCTTTATTTTGCAAAAAAATCACTGAGTCAAACATTTGACTTAAAATTTCCCAGACTTTACTCACCTGTTTATATGATGATTGATTGAAATTTTCAATGTTTGCACGAAAGTATTACAACATACCAAAAATATCAGAGATTTGTTATCGATGAAGGTAAATCGTATATAAAGCGCGCAGAATCAATAAATTTTATCAGTGAGAAAAAAATATAACCGAAGAATTATTATTATTTTACAATGTTGTTTATCACTGTTGTATCTCTGCTAATCGCTGGAACTTCAGCTGGAACTTTGCAACCGGGCCCGTGTCCCAATATCACTGGAATTGACTTTGACATGAATCGAGTAAGCATTTTGTCTTTTATTGACTCAAAATTGTCCCTATTGATTGGAGTTGATTCAAGTTTTTGTATAGTTCGTAGGAAAATGGCGCGACTATGCATCTACAGATGATCTATACCATAATACTCTGCGGTGCGTAACGCATTTTTGGGAACCGCCAGTTAACGGTGTGTCAAATGTATTTTCTACCGGAATTACAAGGTAGTTAATCAAATGTTCTACTTGTCAAGAAAATATTTTCTTGAGCGTCAAGAAATTTTCCTTTCTGTCTACTCATAAAAATAAAATTGTTCTTTTTTTTCAAATTTTAACAATGAAGAACCAGCCTGCTAGATGAAGTTGAGAGTCAAGCTTACCTAAGCAAGCCAGACAATGGCATACATCTGACAACCGTAATACCGATGATTGGAACTCAGAGTATTGAATACTGGGACTTGGAAGACATCTATGACAATGATTCGATATGTTGGTCTTGTAAAGAAGTGGGATCTTACCAGTAAGTTTTTTATACTTCAATAAAGATATAATTAGTAGTAATAATTATTAAATTTTACGATTTTTTTAGTCTGCAGACAATTACCATATGGACCCGCAGGAATATTCCAAGAGGAGATGTCATTGGAAGAGCGCGACAATTAGCCGCTCAAAAGGGTCTGGCAGCAGCCCATTTCGGGTTTTACTTCAACCCTTGTAATGAATTCATTTAAATGTTCCAATATTTTATAAAGGACTTATTGTTAATTCTGTATCATATGTTAAACAATAAATAATAATTGCCTTGAATCTTTAATTTTGGTATTTTAATTAACATTTTCACCTTTTGTTTATTCTAATAAGTAATATTTTTTGGAAGCAATGGTGTTATTATATCATTATAACTCTAACAAAAATTATTTATACCAATTATCCCAATTCCTTAACAGGTTATGGGCCTAAGAGTCAACTTTACCAGGCGAAAAAAAATTTAAAATAATTATTAAGTAATTGCTATTAATTAATTATTAATTGAAATTAATTCTGAAAAACGGATTTTGTAATTTTATCTGATGAAAAAACTGCTCGCGTCTGATGGACTTGAACCCGGTACCTCATGGTTGACAGTCTTCTACGCTACTCACTGGCCTAAGTCCCGTTCTTACAAGGTCTATATATTTGGTGAAAATGAAGTTAGCTGACATTTCAAAATTTTTAGAAATTTTTTTATCCAAAAAATTTCAATTAAACAATTAAAAAAAAATATATCACTTGTTAAAAACTTGATAAACTATAAGTGCAATTTCTTAAAAATATCTTTTTAGTTGTAATTTAATTAAAAAAAAAACATCAAAAATTTTTAGACGTCTGCTAACTTCAGTGTCATTATATTGATTCCATTTATATAAATTCACAATCAGAAATTGCTAATAGAAATAATAACTTAAACGTTAGTAGTCATGGAATGCAAAATCAACCCCCGCTAGCTGGGAGTCGGAGAAGGGGAACTAGACCGCTCTAGACTCGAGAGTGGGGAGCGCTCGACTGTCATTCAAGCGTCGACTGAAGTCCAGGCAACATCTATTATTTAATTAGCCTCCCGCTTTAATTTTGAAAATTTATCTGTATGTATTTGAACTGCATGTAAAAAAGTATCAAATCTTTATTTCAAAGTTACCAAAGAGCACGTTTACACTTTTACGATAAGATAATGATTAATGACAGATAAGAACTTTTGAGAACTGAAAAAGAAATGATTTTTATTTAAGAACATAATTATGTTATAAAGAAACGATCTAGCGATCATGCGCCATCTGTCGGCGGTTTTCAATGTTATTTTGAACACAAAAATACATATGGGAACGCTAGATCATAAATGAAATTTTTTTACTAGAAAATAAATAGATGGCGCATCAGTAAATAGGCTAAAAAAATTTCCTAATAGTTTTAAATACATTTTTGAACTAATAAAAACATTACTCTGTTGTTTTTAAATTTTGAACAGTCCAAATATATAGATTGTAAACATTGGAATTACAAAATAATTTTTTTATACCAAACAAATAAGTATATCTTGATAAGTCTAAAATTAACTAAAAAAAAAATATGTAAATTCAGGCTATTGATTACCCAAGTGAAAATTTTGAAGGTCAGCCTAAAAGATTATCAATTTAAAAATTTTCCTTATTTTCTCAAAAAATAACTGACCAAGCCTTCCACTTGGATGCTTTCCAGACTTTACATAACAGCGATGTTTGGTTACCGAGCTTATCAGTTGAAAATTAGATATTTGCACAAAATTTTTTCAACAAATCTAAAAATTATCATCGTTTTATTGTTGAAAATAAACATTGTGAAAAACGAATAAAAGCGCGCGTAAATATTCTTTTTGCACCAGTGAAAATAATATTCTACTGACGCGTTATTTCTTCGAAAATGTTGATCGCCGCTGTAGTATCTTTGTTGATCGTCGGATCTTATGCTCAATCCGATTCAAGAGGATCGTGTGTCAATTACCTTCCAGTCAATTACGATTTTTATCAAGTGAGTATTCTTCAGTTGTACCAAAACTTTCTCAGCTGAAGTAGGTGGCGCTGCTTTCCTAAAGTATCTAAAAATCTTGATCAAATATAAAAATTTATTGTATCAAGTATTTACTTAAAGCACATTCAAATTAACCAACGTTATTTTCCAGGGTGCTGGAGCATGGTGGGAGTACGCAGCTACCTACGATCCTTACGGCGGTAGGCTAAGGTGCATAATCGAAAATTGGCTTGCACCGGAAGGTAATAACACTAGAGTGGTGACTACCGGAATTTCTAAAAAGTAACTATCTGAATATTTTATTCTATCTAAGCAATTTTCAAAGCCAAATCATACAATGTAATTTTGTTTTTATTTTTTACAATAAAGAACCGGCAACGAAATGGTAATTGAAGGCGATTACAGTAAAAACAGGTACACTAGGAAGCTACACGTTGTTAGCGCCGTGCCACTCGTTGGACTACAGACTATTGACTTTTATGATATGGAAGATATCTATAACGATTACATAATAACCACATACTGTATGAACCAGGGTTCGAGAAGGTAAGTTGCATTTCGTACTGCAAACAAAATATTTACTGAGTAGCAATAATTCACAATTATATTTTAACTATTAACTACTTTTTTTACGTTCAGTGTGCCAGTTGTCCTTATTCTGACTCGCTCACCGAATCCAAGAACAAATGTGATTGCAAGAGCCCAACAAGTTGCCAGAAATCACGGTCTATCAGTAGGCAATTTTATTCGCTTTGATACCAATTGTTAATAAGCTGTCTCTATGTACCGATATTCAGTTAATAATTTATTGTGAATTCTTTCACATTCGTTGTACAATCAATTAAAATAAATCCATTGAATCTCTAGCTTTGGTATTTTAAATATGTTATTTCCTACTTTTCCGTATCCAAGTAATAATGATTGGTAGGTTAGAAATTGTAAATTGTAGGAATAACACTGAAATTAGCAGTCACGGAACGCAGAGAGAGATCCCCGCTCGCTGGAAGGCGGAGAAGGGGAACTAGGCTGCTCCAGACTCGAGAGTGGGGAGCGCTTGACTGTCATTCAAACGTCGGCTGAAGTCCAGGCAACATCTATTATTTAATTAACCTTCCGCTTTAATTTTGAAAATTTATCTGTACATATTTGAACTGCATGTAAAAAAGTATCAAATTTTTATTTTAAAGTTACAAAAGAGCACGTTTATACTTTTACGATAAGATAGGGGAGCTTGGGGTCGCCCCGGTCAGCGGGTCACCCCGATCACCAACATTTAAAAAAATCTACTATACCTTAAATTTTGAATTTTGTTTTATTTTGTACGCTTATTCAGCTGAGAGTAAAAAATAGATTCAAAACTTAGAAATATAGTATTTATTAGTAATAATTAAAAATTAAAAAATTGATTCCCATTTGATCTAAGAATCGGAATCATTTCCGTAAGGCTTTTAATATAGTTTACAGCAAGATAAAAATTTATAATTTTTATGTATATAATCTATAAATCTTCCTTTATAAGTGGGAATTTTTATTATACTGTTATTATTGATCGTTTTCTTTTGAATAAAGTTTATTTTCTCAACTATCGGTTGGGGTCATACCGGTCAAAGCTGTGGTGTTTTCACCGGTCAGTTTATTCAATTGTTTATTGTTTAACAGCTCGTGTGTTTATTTAAAACTAACCACATTATTTTTGTAATTAATAAAAAAAAAAAAAATCACAAAAGAAGCCAGTTAAATTGTCCGATAATGTTAATGAAGAACTCCAAACAAGTAAGTCAGCAGAAGAACCTAGAAAGAATTCAAGGAAACGAATAACTTCCACTCGTGCGACGGATAAATATCAAGTATGGCCTAAAAAAACGCAAATTAGTTAAAAAACAGAAAGTTTAAATGTTCAAAATTACCAATATTTAATGTTATTTGCTGCCAAAGTTTCAATAAAAAAATTAATTTTTAATTTTTATTAAATTTTAACAATATAATTCGGAGTTTCTAATTTTTAAAATAAAATTAATACTGACCGGAGCGACCTGCCTAATGACCGGGGTGACCCAACACGTTGGGTCGCCCCGGTCAAACTCATTATTTCTATAATTCCTCAAATATTTTTATTCATCTTCATACTTATATTTTTTAGTAATTGCATTTAGTTCTTCAGATGTCAAAGAATTGAATAAAGTCTTTTTTATTATTCCAAAATGATAATTTTAATATTTTTTTAAATTCACTTCTTAGGTGACCGGGGGGACCCCACACTCCCCTATCTAAGTAACTAAACGGTGAATCTTTTTCAAATTTTTCGATTAGATAAATTACGTATTTATTTATACGTATACTTAATTTCAAAGCTCAAAGTTTGAAATTATTTTTCACATTAGATTCGCTCGAATCTCCTTAACAAATCGCTTTTTGACAGAAACAGTATTCCACTTTTTAATATCAAATTTATTGTCACAAAGCACCTATTTCATTTTAATATACCCGTTAGAAGTATCTTTTTCACAAACTTTGAACTACTTGATGTTTTGCAATATCGAAGAAGATAATTAATACGACCAATAGATAGAACATAAAGAATAATTTAATAAAACCCCTAATGATTAATGACAGATGAGAACTTTCGAGAAGTGAAAAAGAAATGATCTTTATTTCATAATATCATTATGTTATAAGAAAAAAACCAAGCGATCGTGCGCCCTCTGTCGGCGGTTTTCAATATTATTTTGAACAAAAAAATACATATGGGCACGCTAGATCGTAAATGAAATTTTTTTATTAGAAAATAAATAGATGGCGCGTCAGTAAACACGCTAAAAAGATTTCTTAATATTTTAAATACATTTTTGAATTAATAAAAAAATTACTCTTCAAAGTTGTTTTCAAATCTTAAACAGTCAAAATATGTTGAATGTTGCAGTTGACAAAATGTCTTTTTTATTCTATACGAATAATTATATCGTGATGAAGTAAGACTTTGATAAGTCTAAAATTAACTTGAAAAATAATATGTAAATTAAGGCTATGGTTTACCGAAGTCATAATTTTCAATGTCATTGTAAAATATTATCAATTCAAAACTTTTCCTCATTTACTCAAAAAATAACTAAATTAGCCTTCCACTTGGATGTTTTGCAGACTCTACAAACCAGCGATCTTTTGTTACCGAGCTTATCAATTGAAATTGCAATATTTGCATAAAATTTTTTCAATACATCTAAAAATACCATTTTGTTATCGATAAAATTAAACATTGCAAAAAATGGATAAAAGCGCGCGTAAATGCTCTATTGCACCAATGAAAATAATATTTTGCTAACGCCTTAGTTTTTCGAAAATGTTGATCGTCGCTATCGTATCTTGCTTGATCGTCGGATCATATGCTCAATCCGATTCAAGGGGATCCTGTCTAAACTTCATTGCAGTTGATTTCGATCCTTACCAAGTGAGTATTGTTCAATTCTACCAAAACTTTCGCACTAACCTTCGCATAATGAGTCGTGCAACTTTACTTAGATTAATTTACATATGGAACGAGCACTTAAGGAAGTTCGAGCGTAACTTATGAGTCAAAATAATGTTCAAATTTTTTTTTACTTTCAGTCTCCCCAATATTCGTCAAAATTCGTTATTTTAATTTAAAATAATTTGAACAATTTAATAATTTATGATTTTTACTTATTTAATAAAATAAAGTAATAAAATAACTTTGGTATTTATTAATTGCCGGATTAAATAAACAGATTTGGCAACAGCGCGTTTGATTATACCCATTACAGAGACGTGGATGAGTGTGTAAGTTAAATATTTCTCTCTCTCTGTAACTATATTTCTATCCTTTTGTTTTTTCTCAGCTGTTGACGCAACGTTGCCAAATCTTTATTCGAATAAATAGCTGACGATAAACCAGTCAAAAACATTAAATTAAACTTTAAATATTTCAACAAATTATATCGGTAATGTATTATTATTAAATTTTTTTTATATTTTACAATAATCCAAGTTTTGCGTGTATAGTTTTTTATTCGTTAAAGTTGGGAGGTTAATATTGAAAAAAATAATTAAAGTCTCGACTAAACGTTTGTCCGCCATAAGAGCCCATGTATAAGGAGATAAAAAATGTGATTTTTGAAATTTAATATCTAAGTAACTAAACGGTGAATCTTTTTTAAATTTTTCAATTAGATAAATTACGTATTTATTTATACGTATACTTAATTTCAAAGCTCAAAGTTGGAAATTATTTTTCACATTAGATTCGCCTGAACCTCCTTAAAGCACATTTGAATTTACCAATTTTTTTTTTTCCAGGGTGGTGGTGCATGGTGGGAGTACGCAGCTACCTACGATCCCTACTACGGTGAGCTAAGGTGCATAATTGAAAATTGGGGTATACCGGACGGTAATAGAACTAGCTTGGTGACTACCGCAATTGACGTAAAGTAACTATCTGAATATTTTATCCTGTCTGAGCAATTTTCAAAGACAAATCATACACTATAATTTCCTTTTTATTTTCTACAACAAAGTACCGGCAATCAAGTGGTAACCGAAAGCAGATACACTAAAGACAGGTACAATAATAAGTTACACGTTGTTAGCCCCTTGCCACTCTTTGGAAGACAGACTATTGACTTTTTTGATATGGAAGATGTCTACAATGATTATATAATAACCTCATACTGTATGATCCAGGGTTCGAGAAGGTAAGTTGCATTTCGTACTGCAAACAAAATATTTACTGAGTAGCAATAATTCACAATTATATTTTAACTATTAACTACTTTTTTACGTTCAGTGTGCCAGTTGTCCTTATCCTGACTCGCTCACCGAATCCAAGAACAAATGTGATTGCAAGAGCCCAACAAGTAGCCAGACGAAGGGGTGTACCAGTCGGCAAATTTATTCGCTTTGATACCAATTGTAACTAAGTTGTTTCTATGTACCGATATTCAGTTAAGAATTTATTGTGAATTCTTTTACATTCGTTGTACAATCAATGAAAATAAATCCATTGAATCTCTAGCTTTGGTATTTTAAATATGTTATTTCCTACTTTTCCGTATCCAAGTAATAATGATTGGTAGGTTAGAAATTGTAAATTGTAGGAATAACACTGAAGTTAGCAGTCACGGAACGCAGAGAGAGATCCCCGCTCGCTGGAAGGCGGAGAAGGGGAACTAGGCTGCTCCAGACTCGAGAGTGGGGAGCGCTTGACTGTTATTCAAGCGTCGACTGAAGTCTAGTCAACATCTATAAAATCTGTATTCTCGCTAATAATTCGGTGATTTTATTTAAAATTTCAAGCAAAGGAAGGTGTCTGTATTTAATTAAAGATCTCTCGATCATTTTTTATACTACCTCGATAATTTATCGAGTCTAATAAACCGAATTTATTGTGCTAATAATGATCACATGGTCCGTAATTTTAATTGCAATACTCTAATAGATTTAACGTGCGTGCGCAAGCGCGCGTCTAAATGTTAGGATGGAATTATATATATTCTCATGCTTGTGATTTATTTGACCAATGATATTACGAATAAATTGGTTTTACATATATTTTATCTCAATATTATCTTGGGATTATTTTTAACAGTAAAATTAATTTAAAAATTATACTTAGGTAATATATAAATTATATAATCATTAAACGAGTTTCAAAATTTTTTTATTATTTAAATAAAACTGTGTAACATACTTATTTTTAGACTTTCAATACTTTATTTGCCCACGATATTAAATTACTGAAATTATCAGCCGGAATAATTGCAAATTTATATTTGCACCAAATTATTTCGAAAGAGACTCGTTATCGATAAAAAAAAGTATTGCAAAAATTGAATATAAAAGATACAAAATAGCATCAGAAATATATAAATATTTTTTTCACTAAAACGTTACTTTCTTCTTCAATAATATGTTTTTCGTTAACATTGCCGTTGTATTTTTATTGGTTGGCGTATCTTCCGCGCAAACTGAGCAACCGATTAAGTGCCTTAATATCACTGGGGCCGATTATGATTTTTATCAAGTAAGTATTATTTTGCTTAAAGTACTTACTGAATAATTATACGAATTATACGAATAACATATGAACAATCTTTTTTAGGGTGCTGGGTTATGGTACATATACGCGAGTACCTACGATCCGTTTGAAGATGCTCTAAGGTGTTTAACCCACAACTGGTTTTACCCTGATGGTGATAACGTTGCAAGAGTAATTGTTTCCGGTATTTTTAAAAAGTATTATAAATTATAATTAAAACATATGTTTTCTGTCTAAGTTATCATTAACAAACTTTAAAGTAAACTTTTTGTTTATTCTATAATTAAGAACCGGCCTCTTGTCTCAAATTGAAGCTGTGTATACTATGTACAAACCCGATAATCGGTTACATAGTAAAAGCTGGGATCCACTTCATGGAGTACTAAGTCATGATCTCTGGGATTTGGAAGATGTGTATGACGATTATATTGTAACCAGTTCTTGTGTGAGACAAGGCTCGAGCATGTAAGTTACTTGATAGATTCCATAAAAATCTTATTATTATTACTATTAATGTTGTAATTATTATTTTATTTTTATCAGTGTGCCAACTTTCACCATACTGACTCGCGAACCGTACCCAACAACGGATGTAATTGGAAGAGCTCGAGAAATAATCACTGGAGGGTTGGGTCTTGCAGAACCCAATTTTTTTATATATGATACAAATTGCGCGTAAAGTGTTGCTATGTATCAATATTTAATGTAATTCTTTGTGCACAATTTTAATTTCAATAAATACATTTTATCTTTAGTTTTGGTATTTTGATTAACATTTGACTATCCATTTTATTCATACGAGTAATAGGTACTAGCAACCTTGCAGTCACTATGTGACTGCCGTGAGTTGTGAACTATAAATAAATAAAATTTTGCGTTATTAAATAATGACTTTTGTTAAAATGCACTGTACTTTCTTAAATATTGACGATTTTAAAGATATAAGCTCATCCTGATGTTACACTCATCAAGAGCTTTCATTTAAGTACCCACATGCATTTTTGATATATTTTTCATATATATACATATATATAAAATATATAAATATATGAAAAATTGATGTGGGTACTCAAATGAAAGGTCTCGATGAGTGTAACATCGAGATGAGCTTATATCCTTAAAAATGTCAATAGTTTACAAGATATAAGGTCATTTCTTAATTATCGATATTTTTGAAGATATAAGCTCATCCCGATGTTATACTCATCGAGAGCTTTTATTTGAGTACCCACATGTATTTTTAATATATTTTTCATATATGTACATATATACAATATATATAAATATATGAAAAATTGATGTGGGTACTCAAATGAAAGGTCTCAATGAGTGTTTTATAAATTGATAAATTTAATAATCTTAATTATCGATATTTTTGAAGATATAAGCTCATCCCGATGTTATACTCATCGAGAGCTTTTATTTGAGTACCCACATGTATTTTTAATATATTTTTCATATATGTACATATATACAATATATATAAATATATGAAAAATTGATGTGGGTACTCAAATGAAAGGTCTCAATGAGTGTAATGTCAGGATGAGCTTATATCTTTAAAAATGTCATTAGTTGACAAGATAGCAATGTCAGTTTTTAATTATTGTCATTTTTAAAGATATAAGCTCATCCTAATGTTACACTCATCGAGAGCTTTCATTTGAGTACCCACATGCATTTTTGATATATTTCTTATGTATACATATATATATATATATAAAATATATAAATATATGAAAAATTGATGTGGGTACTCAAATGAAAGGTCTCAATGAGTGTAACATCAGGATGAGCTTATATCTTTAAAAATGTCAATAATTAAGAAATAAGATTGTACTTTGTCCACTGATGATATTTTTAACGATATAAGCTCATCCTGACGTTATACTCGTCGAGACCTTTCATTTGAGCACCCACACGAATTTTTCATATATTTTATATATTTTACAAATATGAGAAATATCATATATATGAAATATATGACAAAAAATCATGTGTGTACTCAAATAAAAGGTCTCGATGAGTGTAACATCGGGATGAGCTTATATCTTAAAAAATGTCAATAATTAAGAAATAAGATTGTATTTTGTCCACTGATGATATTTCTAACGATATAACTGCAAAGGGATCGACAGTAATGACAAGACCTATCATAAAAGATAGTGTTAATTTTCGCATAATTTATTTTACAAAGTACTTATAAAAAAACGATAAATGATAATAAATTTGTGGCATTTTTAGTGATCAAATGATGAGATTTGACGATTTGTTTGATTACCAAAGCTTCGAGTTAAGTGCTCTAAAATTTTTCCTTGTTGAAAATCCTGACGATTGATTAAGACTGTGAATATTTAGAAAAATTTTAATTTGTTTTACTAATTTTAGTAGCTCAGCTGATAAATATCTATAGAGAATCTTTGTTGCAATGATATTAGATACCTGAAGTATAGAGACATGTCATCAATGTTACACGCCGACCAATCCAACGGCCAGTTATCAGGTCGCACAAATTTGTTCATGATCCCATTGCAGTTGTTGAAAGCGTACCAAGGAGTGTTGTAAGAGCTTCCTAATCTGATAATCACAAATTACATTAATTAAATTGATATGTTGCTTGATGATAGCTTTATCTATATTAATTATAATACTCACATGTGAGCGATTTCCCGAGCGACTACCGCATAATTACCCTGGAAACTGGGATGTCGAACTACACCGACGATGGGTATGGGGTCATTTTTTTCGGCATTTTTCCCTCTGTTGTAAATCACGCTTTGATCCGAGACACCTGCAGGTAAAAATAAGCTACAACTATGGGTTTCAAAAAAAATTGGGAATTCGTTATAAAAGTGGTTGTACTAACCGTAATATTGACAATTGTAATCTGCATCACAGATTGGTTGGCTGAAAAATTGATAGAATTATAATCATTGTAATTAGGGTCAAAATTTTTGCCGTAAAATTTTTAATATTCAATATTTAAAAATATATAATATAATAAATAAAATATATATCGTTAGAAATATCTTTAGTGAATAAAATATAATGTAATTTCTTAATCATTGACATTTTTAAAGATATAAGCTCATCCTGAAGTTAAGCTCATCGAGACCTTTCATTTGAGTACCCACATCAATTTTTTTCATATATTTTATATATATGATATTTCTCATATTTGTGAAATATATAAAATATATAAAAAATTCATGTGGGTACTCAAATGAAAGGTCTCGATGAGTATAACGTCAGAATGAGTTTATATCGTTAAAAATATCATCAGTGGACAAAATACAATCTTATTTCTTAATTATTGACATTTTTAAAGATATAAGCTCATCCTGATGTTACACTCAT